TTAAATAAAAAGTTAGTATATTATATAAATATAATTATAAATTTTTTATTAAATAAAAAACTCAAAAAATTATACGAAAAACTTTTTAATTATTAGTAATATAAATTATTAAATTGTCAACTCAAATTTATGTATAAAAAATTAAAAAATTTAAATTATCACTACTAAAAATCAACGAGCTATTACTAAATATAAATCAAGAATGGAAACACAGCAAAAACAACTATTTCTTTTCTGGTGTCGTACATCATGTCTTTTCTTCCATTGCCATGTCGTTTTACCTATTTTTATTCACATTTTACAATCAGAAATAGTCAAAACGCTGAGGGATTTGGTATGGCGCGTGTCTTTCCTCTTTACTTAACTTTGGCACGTAAACTCTGCTACTCGTCATCTTGAAAGCATTATCGCGGGGGATCTCCGGTGGCCGGACCGATCGGATCAAAGCCCAGTTCACGCCTTTGAAGAACTCGTGGCTCTTGATTTCAACGGAACCCTTTAAGCTTCCGATTCTCTTCTTGGGATTTTTCACCAGGAGCTTGCTGATGAGGTCTTGGACTTTCGCAGTTTCTTCCAACTCTTTCGCACTGGAAAATCTGATTCTGGGGAAGGTGAGCGGCTGTTTGAGGATGTTGATTAGTGTTTTCTCATTGTTTTCGCCTTTGAAAGGGGTTTTTCCGTAAAGCATTTCGTAGAGGAATGCCCCTAGAGTCCACCAGTCCACGGCGCTTCCGTGCCCTTGTCCGGAGATCACCTCCGGTGCCAAGTACTCGTGGGTTCCGACGAAGGACTGAGACCGAGCATTAATGGGTTCCGCCACCATTTCTGTTTTAGTTTCTCCATCAACGTACCCCGCAATTGTAGTGGGAGACGCCCTCTTCTTGTTCGACGAGAAGCATAAGAGAAGAGGGTGCATTGGCGTAGCACATGAATGGGTCAAGCAATATTTCTCAAATTTGTTTTCCATATTTTCCAAACTGGGTTTAGACCTCTGTAGCTCAGGAACAACGTCGCACTTGAAGGAAAGATCGAAATCGGAAAGCATGATGTGGCCATCTTCTCTAACCAAAACGTTCTCCGGTTTCAGGTCTCTGTAGACAATGCCCATCATGTGCAGATACTCTAATGCCATAAGAATCTCAGCAGCATAAAACCTGCATTTTGCAACATAGAAGAAATCATTAAATGAAAAATACATATGAAGAGTTTGTTGATTGATTTATTTTGCACAAAAGTGGCTATCGATCAATTTCTGTTAGGCGGAAACTTACTTAGCAGAAGAAATGCTGAAACGTTTTCCGGGTTGCCGCTGCCGAGCAACATAAAGGTCGCCTCCGGGACAATACTCCATCACCAAGCAAGAGTAATGAGAAGCTTCAAACTCTGCATACAGAGTTGGCAAAAATGGATGATCAAGCATACCCAAAATCGCTTTTTCCGTATCGGCTCTTTGGAGCTTCTTCCTGATAGCAACTGCTTCTCTGTCCACCACTTTCATGGCATAGAAGCACTGTGGCAACCCCACCACGGGGTTCCTTATCTGACAAAGGTAGACATTTCCTAAGTCTCCGCTTCCTAGCCGATGGAGGAGCCGGAAATGGTCTATCCCAACTCGACCTTTTTCTTTCCTAAGCTGCTTCATAGCTTCCCACGCGGCGTGATTAGCTTTGTGTGGCTTGTGCTGTATTGTGCCGTTAAAAGATGTATCTGAAAGCAAAGGAAGGGAGATAGAACTCCTGCAACTGTCAAAGCTGAGGTTGCTCATCCAGCTCCGGCTGGAGTCTGGTAGGGTTATGGAGGAGGAGCTGCTGTCGTAGTCAGATTCATCTCTTGAAATGGCTGCCATTCTTGGAGGCTGGAGCGAGAATGTAATGTCTGAGGCAAAAGGGTTCTCTATTGGCTTGCTTTATGTGTCTCTTTATAAACAAAAGCAGCCAAACGGGTAAGGGAACTTTTACTACAAGGCATGCCCTCTAAAAGAAAACCGTGCCACATTCTATGAAGGAGAAACAGTCAAATTAAAGCCACTATTTTATTTTTTTTTTTTCAGCCAAAGGTGATTAGATTTCGGCCTCTTGCCTTTTGAATGGTGGTTAGCTATGATTGAATGCACAAGTGGGAAAAAAAAAGAAAGTGTAATGTGAGGAAACCAAGTTAGCGATAGCTCAATATGATTTAGACATTATTTTAAACTAGAAACAGCTAAGGTTGATGAGTTTTCATGTATACTGTACTTCTTGGCTACCAAAACATTAGTGATAATGTTACGCTAGTTAGTTGCAACCATGGAGAGCTATGTTGCCGTTACGTTGAAGGGCTCAAGCTCTGATCGAGGGCTGTATTCTTACTCTGACGTGATTTTACTCAAGTCAAGAAAATCATGTAAATGTGATATCTCAAATTCTACATCAATAGAAAATTATAAGTGAATTTTAATATATAAATATAGAAATTAACTACATTATTAATAATTTAAATTTAAATGTTTAAAGATTTATAAATTTTAATTTAAAGAGTTATTGTAAGGACAAGTCTGAGGTGCCCAGCCTCGGACTACTACGGTAATTCCTTTATGACCAAAGTAAAGGATAAATCCAAAGCTTCCCGTTCAAACAGTTGCATGACAGCGACAATAAGCATACCCGCACCTGATTCTTTATAATGGCCTGCACAGCAGTTATGACAGACATCTTTGTTTCTAAATATCTCTCAAATTCTTGGTCTCGAAATAATCGTCTGGATAGACACGTCAGGCTCCGATTATTTTGCTTGGCATGCCACGTGGGTTCCTCACTGGAGCCTATAAATACCCCCCAGGGGCCACGTCAAAAAGGTAATTGAAAATCAACCCTAAGCTCCTTTTATCTTCGCTCTAAAGGTAGTCTCGATTATTGCTGACTTAAGCATCGGAGTGTCTACCCCAAAGACCCACCTCGGGGTTTTGCAGGTCAATCCGGAGTGCAAATTTGGACTAAAGAAGGACTTTTGGTTTGGTGCAATTACATTTGGCACCGTCTGTGGGAAACCGAATTGAAAGCTCTCTTATCTCATCATGGTTAACACTCGATCAGTCCGAGCTGGAAACTCATCTCAGCCTCTTGGACAAGGCAAGGTCCCCAGCAACCTTCCACCTCACCTCCCACTCCCAATCCTAAATATGTTCCCTCATGTTGATCATGTAGAAGGAGGAGATGAAAATCAACCACACAATTCAGCTCACAACTCAGCTTCTACTGCCAACCAAGACGTAGTTGCAGCTCAGCTTGCTGCCATGCAACAATATTTTGGTGTCTTTCAGCTAGTACTGGCTCAGCTATTAGCCCGGAACAATCTTGGCGATCCCTTTATCAATTTACTCAACCCTGCTCAACAACCCCCAGCTCCACAGCAAAACCCTAAACCCGTTCAACATGCTCCTGCTCTTAGTGAATCTCAGGACCAGTCTCACATCGCACCAGCTCAGCAACCCTTTCCTGATGATGTAACTCGACGTCTAGACAGCTTAGAAAAGCTAGTAGTTGAACAGCGAGGTGCCCCACCTCCACACCATGCTGCTGACTCCATACCTCATCCTCTAAACACCAACATCACACTGGAACCTTATCCCGTTGGCTTCAGGACACCACAACTTGAGACTTATGATGGGACGAAGGATCCCGATGATCACCTACATGCTTTCTACTCTTGCATGAAAGCTCAAAACGCCTCTAACGCGTTGATGTGTAAAATCTTTTCCTCTACTCTCCGAGGTAATGCTCGAACTTGGTATTACAGTCTACCTCCGAGGTCAATCAGCTCTTATACAGAAATGGCATCTGCTTTTGCCATTAAGTTTTCCAGTAGAAGGTTGATCAGGAAAACTACTTCTGAGTTGATGCGAGTTAAACAGAAACAGAGGGACGGAGAATCTCTGAAGAACTATATGAGCAGATTCAATGATGCAGTATTGGAGGTTAGCTCCTTCGACCAGGCTGTGGGAATTGCAGCTGTGATCTCAGGTCTCAACCATGAGAGATTCAGAGATAGTTTGATCAAACATGTTGCCACCACCTTTAGCGAGGTGAATGATAGGTCTCTGAAATTTATAACTACTGAAGAATATGCCCTGTCGCAGAAACCAACTCCCTCTAAGAATCAAAACCCAGATTGGAGAGATGAGAATCCAAGCAAGAAACAGATGAGGATAGCACAGAACCGAGGTTCGATGTCAACCTCCACACCGAGATTCGAAGGCCGAACTCAACACCCCCACAACAATCTATAGGTAAACCTCCAGTTAATTGGACTCCTTTTAATTTGCCGAGGTCATAGATTTTCATGCAGATCAAGAATAAGATGGATTTAAGGCGTCCTGACCCAATGAGAACTGCTGCTACTAGCCGAGATCATACTAGATATTGTGATTTTCATCAAGATCACGGTCATACAACAGAGCAATGCAACAGCTTAAGGTCTGAACTGGAAAGTCTAGCTCAGAAGGAAATGTTGAATGAGTATATTCAGAAAGCTGAACAGTCGAGGTTTGTCAGAGAACAGAGGCCACAACCTCAAGGAGTCCGTAATCCACCAAATAGGCAAGGCGTGGGATATCAGCAAGCCCCACCTTCGCTCCCACCACCAGCTAGAATCATACACACGATTACGGGAGGCCTGGAAGTAGGTAGACTGAGCTCTAAATAGCGAAAGTTGTATGTTAGAGAGGTTAAGCATCAAAACCGAGCTTAGAAACGGAAGTTTGACGATACTGAGAGTGGAAGAATCAATCCATTACTTTCACATCTGTTGATCTCGATGCAGTCGTCACACCTCACAATGACCCTCTAGTCACTTCTGTCATGATTAACAATTGCGAGGTGCAGCATGTCCTTGTTGACACAGGGAGTGCACCAGATATCATGTACTTTCATTGTTTTGAGAGTCTTGGGTTGGATCTAGCTTTGTTGCAACGGTATGATGGTCCCATATATGGATTCAACAACCAACCAGTTCCAGTTGAAGGAGTCCTAACCATGAATGTTGCATTTGAAAGTGGCCGAAATTATGTGACTCCTTCAGTTCGATTTCTAGTAGTCAAGATGGCATCCTCTTTCAATGTTGTCATTGGCCAACCCACGCTGATTGAAATTCGAGCTGTGGTTTCCCAGTCTCACCTATGCATGAAGTTCCTAACTCCTATGGGAATAGCAACACTGCGAGGCAATCAGGAGGTGGCCAGACATTGCTATATCACCTCGGTCACACGACCTCAGAAAGACAAAGATCAAACACCCGAGGCTAATCCCCAACAGATTCTTAATAATCAACAAGTTATGGGTGTTGAAATAGTAGATAACCGACTAGAAGATGAAACTAGAGCTATTCCAGTCGAAAATGTTGAAGAAGTGCCCATTGATGATAGAGATCTGAGCCAAAAGACGCAAATTGGAACTAGATTGAACCCGGAGGAAAGAGCATAGCTAATAGCTTTTCTCCAAGCTAACAATGATGTCTTCGCGTGGACTTCGGCAGACATGCCAGGAATTCCAAATTGGGTATCTCAACATAAGCTCAGCACCAATCCATTGAAGAAACCAGTGGCCCATAAGCGACGTTTCTTCGGGGGGGGATCAGGCTATAAAGGAAAAGGTAGAGAAACTTCTACAAGCTGGTTTCGTCAGAAAAGTTGATTATTGCGAATGGGTGGCTAACCTAGTCCTGGTGAAGAAGGCAAATGGTAAATGGCGAATGTGCATCAACTACACAAATCTTAACTAAGCCTACCCCAAGGATTGCTATCCGATGCCTAGTATTGACAAATTGGTTGAAGCAGCTTCAGGTAATGAGAGGTTAAGTCTCTAGGATGCATATTCTGGATATCACCAAGTGCCGATGGCTTTAGAAGACGAAGAGAAAACCTCGTTCTATGCTGGTGACGAAATATATTGCTATGTCATGATGCCATTTGGCTTAAAGAACGTAGGCACTACTTATCAGAAAATGGTGACCATTGTCTTTCGAGCTCAGATTGGCAGGAATCTGGAGGTTTATGTCGGTGACATTGTGGTAAAGAGCCTGAAAGTAGAAGACCATCTAACTGACCTCGATGAAACTTTCAACAATCTTAGAAAGAATAGAATGCGGTTAAACCCAGCAAAATGCATCTTCGGCGTGGAGTCTGGAAAGTTTCTAGGCTTCATGGTGTCCCAAAGAGGGATTGAGGTCAATCCAGAAAAGATCAGAGCAATTGCCGAGATGGAACCGCCAAAGTCTGTGAAAGATATACAGAGATTGACAGGGAGGGTGGCAGCTCTTCATCGATTCATATCGAAGTCAACAGATAAGTGCCTGCCATTTTTCAAAATTATGAGGTCAACCACCCAAAAAGACGAATCAGGAAAACAAAAGAAGTTTGAATGGAGTCAAGAATGCCAAGTTGCATTTGAAGAGCTGAAGTCTTATTTTAGCTCACCACCTCTACTGACTAAAGCGATAGATGGAGAGATTCTCTATTTGTATTTGGGAATTTCAGATAAAGCCATCAGTTCGGTTCTGGTGAGAGAAGAAGCCAAACAACAGAAATCGATCTATTATATCAGCAGCGTGCTGCATGGTGCATTAGCAGTTGTTACTTCAGCCAGGAAGTTGAGGCCATATTTCCAGTCACACCCAATCATTGTCCTTACAGATCAACCTCTTCAACAGATTCTACAGAAGCCAGAGTGCTCCGGAAGATTAATTAAGTGGGTAGTAGAATTGGGGGAATTCGAGATAACATTTCAGCAGAGATCTGCAATCCGAACTCAAGCACTAGCAGATTTAATTGTAGAATGCACTCCATGTCATTCAACCCCTAATCCAGAGCCCAATGACTAGACCTTATATGTTGATGGAGCATCTAGTAGCAAGGGTTCAGGAGTTGGTGCTCTCTTGATTGGCCCAGATGGATACCGAAGTGAGCATGCTCTGAAATTTAACTTCGATGCAACAAATAACATGGCTGAGTATGAAGCCCTGCTACTTGGTCTACAACTAGCATTGGAGTTGAAAATCAGCACAATCCAAGTATACAGTGACTCCCAACTGGTGGTGAACCAAATCAACTCAATCTACGAAGTCGTTGATCCTGTGATGGTGAAATATATAGCCTTGGTGGCCGAGCTGAAGTGCAAATTCCAGAACTTCTGTCTGAGCAAAATTCCCCGAATTGAGAATGAACAAGTAGATTCACTTTCTAAGTTTGCCTCTGATAGCTCTTTAAGTTCCAGATCAGTTTTTGTGGAGGTCTTAGATGAACCAAGCTTCATGAAGCCACAGATAATGGAGATCAGCATGAACCTAGACACGCTAAGCTGGACTAACTCAATTATCTCCTTTCTACAAGACGAGACAGTACTTGAAGACAAGTAAAAGGCAATGAGGTTGAGGAAGAAAGCATCTCTGTATATACTTGTTGATGGGACTCTCTATAAGAGATCTTTCTCACTCCCTCTTTTATGGTGCTTAAATCCCTACGAAGTTGAGTACGCACTTCGAGAGATACATGAAGGTGTCTGTGGAAGCCACGTTGGTGCTAGAACTCTAGCTCACAAAGTCTTAAGGCAGGGATATTACTGGCCAAATATGTACAAAGATGCCACTCACTTTGTTCATAAACGCCCGAAATGCCAATTCTTTGCACATCTGACTCACCAACCAACAGAAGAGCTCACAAACTTGATAGCACCATGGCCATTTGCTCAGTGGGGACTAGATCTTTTGGGCCCATTCGTGAAAGGGGTTGGTGGTGTAACCCATCTGATTGTTGGTGTGGATTATTTCAAAAAATGGGTTGAAGCTCGGCCATTATCCAGTCTTACCTCCAAGAAGGTTGAAGACTTTGTTTTCAGCTCGATCATTTGCAGATATGGGATCCCGAATCAGATTGTGGCTGATAATGGAACTCAATTTAATTGCTCCTCCTTCCAAGATTTTTGTTCTAGCTACGGGATCAAATTGCAGTTCACCTCGATTTATCATCCGAAGTCCAATGGTATGGTAGAATATGTTAATAAATGCATTTTAGAAGGAATAAAGCCAAGGTTGGAACAACACAAGGCCAAGTGGGCAGAGGAGCTCAACAACGTTCTCTGGGCATATAGAACAACGAGCAAAACTGCCACAGGTACTATTCTCAAACCAAATTCTTTTCGCTTTATTTCTATTTTATCTTACTTCCTCACTTGAGACTCTACCTTAGATCAAATATGCATAATATGTAAAGCATATTCTAAAGAATATAATTTCATGAAATAGGTGAAACACCCTACCACTTGGCCTTTGGTACCGAAGCAGTTATTCCTATTGAAATAGGAGTCCCAAGCTTCCGGGTCACCCATTTCGATGAAGGACAAAATGGACAGTTGCTTCGGGAAAACCTTGATCTGCTTGCCGAAGTCAGAGAAAAAGCACGGCTTCGAACTCTTATATACAAGTAGAAATTAGCCAACTTCTACAACAAACGAGTCCACCCTCGAACATTCAAAGTAGGAGACCCTGTTCTCAGAAAGGCTGGCCTAACAGGGTTTGAAACTCGTTTTGGCAAACTGGCTCCAAATTGGGAAGGTCCTTATACAGTGGCCAAAGTGCCCCATCCTGGTGCCTATGTCCTCAAAGACGTTGAAGGAAAGAGAGTTCCTAAAGTCTGGAATGTCAACAACTTGAAGAAATTTTACCCCTAATAAACTTCTTTCAAGTGATCTATGTCTTATTACCCTTTATACTTATTACTTCATGATTGTTAAGATTCATTTTACTTCTTACTCTGTGTATCTGAGGTCAATTTGTTTAACATTCATTCTTTGAACGTCACTCCTATTAATGAATGTTACTTCGCATATGAAGTGCTTTATTTCCTTTTCATTTATCGGAAGTGATTTACTTCTTCTTAATTCGTCTGAAGTGGTTTACTTCTCCTTAGTTCATTTTTGAGGAAGTTAACTTCTTTTTATTTCATCTTTGAAATGATTAACTTTCCTTTACGACATATCCAAAGTGATCTCAGTTCTTTTATCAATATAAAATAACAAAACGATAAAGCAAACACAACACATAATTTCAACACAGAAATTTCATTCCAAGTAATAACAATATTACAAATTGTTTTATTGTTTCTACAACAATTAAAAAACAAAAATTAGTTCTCTGTTGGAGGAGGTGGCTAAACTGGCTCCTGCTCAGCTGAAAGAGGTGGCTGTGATGGCTGCTACTCGTCTAGCAGAGGAGACTGCTCATCGTCAGAAGGAACTGAATGAATCTCCACTTCTGGAACTGGTTGGCTCTCATCCACTTCAGTTCCTTCCACTCCTACCTCCACTTCGTCTTCCTCTACCTCTGCCCCATCTTCCTCCACTGCAACGAACTCGAAGTCGAAAGTTGGAGGGAAAACAGTGCGCCCGTCTACATCATGTTCCCACTTTAGGTTGATCTGAGGACGAAAGTCTGTTGACATGCTCTCACCATTCTCCTCCACTCCTTCTTCTTACTCACCGAAGGTGATCTTTGTAATATCCACCTCGAGATATTCAGCCTTCACCTTCTTTCTGCAATCTGTGAAGGCAATGATGGCAGTTGGCAGCCGGTATAGGCTGACAATATTGTCAAACGAGCTGGAGCTTATGAAGTTGCTGATGTGCTCCTCCATCCTATTGTGCACCAACAGCTGCACATTCTTCTTCAGCTCCATATAAGCCTCTTTCATCAACCTTATTTCCTTTTCCTGAGCCTCACGCTCGCTTTCAGAGATTCTTCATTTGCTTTCCTCAAAGACGAGCTTGGTGCTCAAGGAAGCCCTCTCCTGCTCTAACTGTTTCGCAGCTGGAACCACCTCGTCCAACGCCTCTTGCATTTCCTTATTCTTTTTCTCCAACTCCTCCTTCTCCTTCTACAGTTGGTCACACTGCCTTTGCAAGAGGGAGAGCTCCTTCACACTCTCCATGAACTCTTGGGCTAGACCATTCACCCAGCTCGCGCTCTACAATTCAAACAGAAGTTAAAAAAAAAAAAAGAAGAAGAAGAAAGAAGAAGAAGAAGCATAAACAACCAAACAACACCAATAAATACAAGTAAATTAACTTAACATACCTCTAAAACGTGCTTCACCACCGAAGCCCCATAGTACCTCAGAGTCTCGTCTCGTGCATGACACTTGTCCACTTCAGGGAAGGTGGCGTTGATAAACCTTCTAGCCCCCGTCATGTTCTTCGCCTCGAACAAGCTGCTCTGAAAGGACAACGGGGGAACGAGGCCCTTTCCCTTGCCAGCAGCTCATACTTCAGCCCCCTCCTCAAATTCCTTGAGCTCAGGGTCGAGCTCAACAGGAGGAGGCCAAGGTACAAATTGGGGAACCTCGCTCCCCCTCTCCTCCTCCTCTACCACCTTTTTCTTCTTCTGTAGTGCCCTTCTCTCTTGCCAACCCTTCCTCTTTAACTGTGGCACCTCCTCCTCCGCCCTAGCTGAAGTATTGGGCACTACCTCCTTTCCAACTCCTCCCTCATCCACTTGCTTGATTGAAGTCTTTAACTTCTTCCTTGGCTTCTTGGGGATGGCCGCTCCTCCAGCAATGCTCAAGAATTTGTCCATTTCAGCTGCGAAACAAGAAAACACAGTATCAATTACACAGCTCTATACTCTACATTAAACACTACAATGCAAATTAAACAAACCTTCACTTAAAGCGCTTGGCCCATAGAGCTCAGCAGCTTATATGCATTCTGTGCTGGTGAGGTCTATGATGTTCAATAAATTACCCCCCTTCCTCACCAACTTCCCCACTTTTTCCTCCTCATCCTCATTTAAGCTAAACTTATTCTGGTTGGCTCTTTTAGCCTTCCAGGATGATAACTCCTCCACTTCGGTATCCCCCCTCTCCCACTCTGTATCATCTACAAAGAAAAATGTTTCCTTCCATCCTTTAATGGACGAAGGACCCGTAGTAAATAACGCTCTACCGTTCTTATTTGCTACCTTAGGGGTGAAATAATACCACCCCTTATCTTTCCTACTACCTCCTTTTAAAACAAAAAAAATACTTAAACATATTCACAGTTGGCACATTAATCCCCTGAGCTCGACAATAAACTAAAAATCCTATTATTACCCTCATAGCGTTGGAGACTAATTGTGTCAACCCTATACTATAATTTACCAACAAACCTACTAGTAACTTAGGAATTGGAAACCTAAGCCCGGCTACCAAATAGTGGGCATACACGGGCATCCAATGATCCCGAGGAGTAGAACACGCCCTCTCCTCGACCCTAGCTAGCCTAATTAATACTCGGGAAGAGATCTCATAATTCTCCACTAAATGACCCAGGCTATCCTTGGTCCCGAGTTCAGATCTATACTACTTCACCTCCTCCACTATGTTTACATCTACATCATAACCCTCTCTCTCCTACCCTCTACTTCTACCACAGTGATGGGTACACTATCCCCTCCAACCCCCACCACCTCATCTCCTCTCATCCCCTCCATCGTTTTCTCCGAACTAGATGGACTGCTCTCTGAGTCCATCCCACCATACTCCAGAGGCATTACCTCACTTCCTACCACACTTACTGTTTCTTCCGAAGACATTTTCTGAATTTCTACACGAAGTAGGGGGAGGAATGAAGTCAAGACCCCTTTAAAAAAAAAAAAAAACTAAAAACTCTAACACACACTCAAAATCATTCTCACTCCCAACCCTAACTTCCTTCAGAGGACTCCAAATCAACCACAGAAAGGGAGAAAGGAGAGTGACACTTCGATTAACTCAAAATCAAAGATTCGTATACATTACCTGATTTCAGTTTAGAAAGCTTGGTGTAGAAATCCACAAATGATGCAGCAGCTCACGCATAGGAAGCACACAGTAAAGCTTTTACAGAAATTTTGCAGAAAACACAATGAAAGTAAACTTTTTTTTTTTTTTATAGAAAAATGCCTATTTATACCTCCAGGCAAAATTAGATCTCAATGGCTGCGATTCGTTTAATCTTACAGTTCTTGTTCACACTGTTTCGAATT